TTTTTAACAATCTAGTTAGAGAAGCAAAACGCCAATTCTATCTAAAAAAATTACAAGATACCAAATCTGATCCAAGAAAACTGTGGTCAGTTGTCGATCACTTAACTAACAAAGACGTTCAAGAAAAGCCAAATATTGATGAAATTAAGAATCGTGATGGAACAATATTAACAGATAAACGACAAATATCCGATGCATTCTTAAATTTTTTCACTAATGTTGGAGAAAATTTAGCATCCAGTATTGAAAAAATGGTTTCGAACGAAAGGTTCACAAAAACCCAACTTCCCAATTCATTCTTTTTAGAAGGCGTTAGTCCGATTGAAGTGCAAGAAGCTGTCCTATCACTTAAAACCAAAAAAAGTCCTGGTGTAGATGGTATCAAAGCTGACCATTTAAAAATAATAGCCTACGACTTAGCCGAACCACTTTCTTACGTCATTAATTGGTGTTTAGAATCTGGAATTTGTCCTGATGCATTTAAAACAACTGTTATTACTCCTGTTTATAAAAGCGGTGACAGAATGGAAACATCAAATTATAAACCCATATCAGTACTATCGAATATAGCCAAAATTTTCGAAAAATTACTACAAAAAAGGATATTACAATTTTTGGACAAAAACAAAATTATATGTTCTGACCAATATGGATTTAGAAAAGGAAAATCTACTACAGATCCAATTTTGGCTGCAATGGATGAAATTAACTCTAATGTCAACAAAAAGATACCTACTATTGCTATCTTTGATACGGTTAACCATGTCGAGCTTCTGAAAGTTATTGGGATTGGGATTTAGGGGAGCGTCACAAATCCTTTTAAAAAATTACCTTTCTAGTCGGGCACAGACTGTCAAAATCACTAACACTTACAGTAAAAAAATGTACATCAAGTGTGGTGTGCCTCAAGGAACAGTACTAGGCCCACTATTATTTAGTCTCTACTTAAATGACTTATTCAAAATTAACAGTTCTGGAAAGATTATATGTTTTGCAGATGACACCCTCGTATTATATAAAGCTGATGACTGGAGCACACTGAAGCAAATAGCTGAAAAGGATTTTATAAGGATCATTGACTGGTTTGATACTAAAATGTTAACAGTTAACTTCAAAAAAACAAAATTTATTGCATTTACATCCTATTCAAAATTCGAACAAATTTCCGTTAATTATCATGGCCAAAAGACCAAAATCGATAGAGTTAACACTTTGAAATATCTGGGAATATTTATAGACTCACATCTAAGGTGGGATAACCATATTAAATATGTTATCAAAAAAATTAGAAATGTTGCCTATAAACTCAAAATGCTTGCTAACATTCTTACAGAAAGTTATCTGCGAATCCTATACCATGCCTTAGTTGAAACCCATATAATATACGGCATCACAGCCTGGGGTGCCGCCTGCAAGACATATATTTCTGACCTGAATATAGCACAAAAAAACTGTTTTGAAAGCCATTTTCCATAAGCCAAGATTATATCCAACGAACAACTTATATCGAGAAACAGGGATACTTGATACAAGACAACTTTATTTCTTACATGCCACCACCTTATACCATAAGTATTGTAATAAAAAGAAAAAATCCTATAAACACGAGAATAACACACGATTTCGAATAGGCTCATCTAATATCCAAATACCACACAAAACATTATTCAAAAAATCATTTAAATTCTTAGCAGCTAAATTATATGAATATTATATATATTAAACGAAATAAAGATACTTAATTTTGGAAAAAAAATTTAGAAGAAAATTGAAAGACTGGGTTAGTAATGTGCAGCGAATGACTATAGGTACATAATTATATAGAAAACTAAAAGTACAAAATTCCAATTACATTAATACCTTTTAGATTTAACAATAATTGTTATACACATATATGATTGATTGTTAGTTATTAAGATATAAACCACACACAGGCGATGCCTTCTGTGGTTTTTTCATATTTATTTGCACATTTTTTGTATTTTGGCGAATAAATATTATTATTATTATTATTGATTTGGTGCCAGAAAGGTGTAGCGGGAATCTTGCATTCCTTACAAATTCCTCTGGATATTTTTGGTATCGGTACTAAATGTATTAAACCAGAACTCTTGCGGACATTAACGTATGCTCGTGCTTTGTCAAAAAACGTCGTTTAAGATTTGAAAAGCAACTGAATGGATTGTACACAAAGTGTATTGGTTCTGGATTCTCTACGGACTGAGTCACTTCTTGATTTGCCGAACCTTTTTCTGTGGGATAAGACCATATCTCATGATGCCTCTGACGATATGGCAACGTCGTTTGGACAACCGCGCAAGCGTCAGCATTTTATCCCGGCTTCAGACACCGGTATGTGGTTGCGTGAATCCAAGAGGGATGCGAGGATGTTTCAACACGAAAGCCTCAAACACCTCCGGGATTGGGGGATAGGTACATCGGAGGGCGATGAAATTGATAAAGTTTCCTCATGATGTTCACCGATACTTTGACGGGTTTTGAAGAAAAATGTAGAACAGATTGTAGGAAACATTATGATGTAATGATATGGAAATTGAATTCGAACAAATGGCCGTTCTTAGGAGAAGACAACTCCGATCTGTTTATAGCTTGCATAGGATTTAAACCACGATTCAGATGATGGATGGAAACTTCAAAAAATCCAAGAACTTTGCATACGAGTACTCGTTAGCGCAACCTATACTGCGAATTATCGCTGATTAAAATAGTGTGAGATCACGTGTTACGCCACTGAGGGTGATATATCAAACATACTCGCATGTAATTTGGAATTATCAGAGAACTGTAATTCCGAAACACCTTGTAACGCAGTTAGTGATGAATCTCAAATTACCACATGATTTATGTGTCTCTAGCTTCGAATTATCACGTCGGGACAATTTCTCAACACATACCTATATCTTACGTACCCATACCTTATAACTTTGTCATTATCTTAAATACTTCCCACGCATATAAAGAGTATTGTTGCTAGAAAAATTCTTTGGTGCCAAATTATCGTACTACCTATCGTTTAGGTATTCGTTGCCAGGCAACAACAGGTGATACTACAGTACGCTCTATTTATCCTTATATTTAATGGAGAAATTCCATGATATTAATCAAATATATATATATATATATAGAAATATGATCAACTAGTGACAGAAATGTTAAAAATTTTGAAAATATCAAAAAATTCCAATATCTTAAAATTTTCAAAATTTGTCAAAATTTCCAAAATCCTTGAATTCCAACATTTTTAAATTACCCAAAATTCTCAAAATTTTCAAATTTTATAAAAATCCTCGGTTTTCAACATTTTCAGAATTTTAAAAATCATGGTTTTCAACATTTTCAAATGTTCTAAAGTTTCCATCGTTTTCAAAATTGTAAATTTTAAAAATTTCCTATGTCCAAAAATTATCAGAATGCTTCGAATTTTCAAAATTTTCAAAACTCAATTTTGTTTAAATTTTTAGTTTCCAATATCTCCAAATTTCTCAAAATTTACGAAATTTTCAATCTCTTCATAATCTTTAGAATTTTCAAGATTCTCAAAATTTTCGAAATTCTTGGATCAACATTTTATAAAATTTTTGAATTTTCAAAATTTCCATATTTTCAGACAAGTTTTTATAATGATCCAAAATTCTCATATTTTTATAAATTTTCAATGTAATCAATTTTCAACATTTTCAAAATTGCAAGATTTCATAATTTTCAAAATATTCAGAATTTTAAAAATTTTCAAAGTTTTCAAATTGGCCAAAATTTTCAAAATATTCGAAATTTTCAGGATTTTTAAAAAAGTTTATAAAATTTTCAAAGTTTTAAAAATCATGGGTTTTCAACATTTTTAAAATTTTAAAAATCCTCGGTTTTCAACATTTTCAAATTTTCCAAAATTTTCGGAGTTTCCATCGTTTTCAGAATTGTAGATTTTAAAAATTTTCGGAATTTCCTATATCCAAAAGTTTTCAACATGCTTTTAGTTTTAAAAATTTTCAAAACTCAAATTTTTTTCAATTTTTAGTTTCCAATATTTCCAAATTTTTCAAAATTTACAATATTTTCAATTTCTTCATAATCTTCAGGATTTTCAAGATTCTCAAAATTTTCGAAAATCTTGGATCAACATTTTATAAATTTTTTGAATTTTCAAAATTTCCAAATTTTCAGACAAGTTTTTATAATGATCCAAAATTTTAATATTTTTATAAATTCTCAATGTCATCAATTTTCAACATTTTCAAAATTGCAAGATTTAAAAATTTTCCAAATTTTCAGAATTTTAAAAATTTTCAATATTTTCAAATTTGCCAAAAATTTCAAAATAATCAAAAATTTTCAAAATTTTTAAAATCCATAGTTTTCAAAATTGTAGATTTTCAAAATTTTCGAAATTTCATATATCTATCCAAAAATTTTCAAAATGCTTTGAATTTTTAAAAATTTTCAAAACTCAATTTTTGAAAAATTTTCTGTTTGCAATATTTTCAAATTTCTCTAAATTTATAAAATTTTCAATTTCTTCATAATCTTCAAAATTTTCAACATTCTCAAAATTGCAAGATTTCAAAATTTTCGAAATTGCCATTATTTTCAAGGTTTTTAAAATATTCAAAATTTTCTAAATCCTCAAAACACAAAATTTTATAAATTTACGGTTTTCAAAATTTTTTGGTAATTTTGAAATTGTTTAAAATTGTGCAAATTCCGGAAAATTCTGCGAATTTGGAAACTTGTGATAACAATGCAGTTATAACAGTTACAAAAAGTTCAAATTTTGAGCACACTCTTGTTTGGTTTCTCTCTTTTGTAGTGATAAACAATCTCCTCCATTATACTTAATTTTGTATTTCACCCGGTGGTAGGTTTTGTATTTTTGGCTTAATAAGCTTCGTACCTACTTTTATGCCGCGGGTCATCAATCAATACACATCTGCTTGTAAAGTATGCCTTATTATTTCATCTTAAGTGGTATATTTTTACAGGATTCAGTCTTCATCACTTTCCTTTTCAGAAGCGTCATCAGCTTCTTCGGTATTCTGGTCTTGATCGGTTGTCGTCACTCCTCTGTGCGCTCGAAGCTCGGTCGTACAATCATAAAGCTCGGAAAACACGTCGAACGGTATAAAATCTCCCGGTACAGGCCACACTTTATCCTTATAAATGTCCCTCTGCGGAACCACCATATATACATCATAGAAGGATTGCAAAGTTTGCACATACGGTGATCTGATGAGTGCAATTATGACCTCATATTCCGGTAAGTGCTGCCAGTATCTATCTTTTGAATGTCCTAAGATGGACTGACTGCGATTTAAGCTACTTGAATGGCTACCCTTATTTATCAAGTTTCTACTGTTATTCGCTATGCTTAAGCGGTGGCCTAAGCTCCCGCGCAGAGACAAGCTGGACTTACTTCCTCCGATATCCTTTATGCTTTCCATTTCGCTGGCCTCAGCAGCATCCTTAGCAAAAGCTCCTAGCAGGTTGTAGATACACCTGACGCAGGTATATAACCGCCGACCTGTTTCTTCCATGCTAGCCTCCTCTTCTAATGGGCTGAGAAGCTTGGACGGAACTCCGAAATACGTTTGCCATTCAGGACATACCCGTTTGAGGATATGAGAAACTTGTATTAAAAGTTTCAAATTTTTCAATTCTTTGTTATCGCCGTATTTATTCAGAACAAGTCCAACGTGTTTAGTTATCGAATCTTCGGAGCCCTCCACCATATGTAGAAAACATTTCTGGTAGACTAGCAGAAAACCAGTTAGCTTCTCTACTGTATTTTCAGCCTCGTTGACTGCCGTCACGGTGTTAACTAACATTGAAGGCAGGTCAGATGCAATGTCGTGCTCACCAACGTAGATTATTCTATGCAAGTAAGTTCGTCTTTCCATCATTTTAAAATTTGCCATTATCCTATCGAAGAGCGTCTTCCTAGCCGGCTCCTGTACCAAATCATGTTCCAATTTTTTCGTTTTTTGATCTCTTAGCTTGGGGTACTTGACGTTCACTGTCTTATTGTCCATCTCTCGAATACTCTGCTCACGATGAAACCTTAAAGATGTGTTAAAAAATAATATACGTTATACAATAATTATTGTAAAAAAGTGAAAAGACATATCTGACAACTTGTATCAGCACTTGACAAATAACTTCAAAAACACATGACAGTGACATATAAATCCGAACACCCAGTTTAAATGGTTTTATTTTAATAAAAGTTGGTGAATGTATTTATCTTACTGTAAATAACAAGTGAAACAATTTTCAGCCTTATCAGTTGGACATTCCAGTTTTTATACTGCTTTTCTTTAATTCACTAACGCTCTAAAAATGAATATTTCAGCCGCAGTAAAGAATCAACTTTGGCGAATTTTGGTTCTTGACATCCTTTACGATCGGTTACGATGCCTAGAGTACGGAGACCTGTACGATTTCGTCAACTTAGTGAGTTTGATAGGGGCTGTATAGTGGGACTTCGGGAAGCTGGACTTTCTTTTCGGGCAATTGCTGTTAGAGTGCACAGATGTGTAGACACTGTGGTTAGGTGTTGTCAGGCATGGCTTCGAGAAGGCCGTACGCAAAGAGCAAGGGGCACTGGACGCCGCCGTAGAACAACAGACCGTGAAGATCGCCGCCTAAGATTATTGGCCTTAAGGGACCGCTTCTCCACTACCAGGTCCATTGCAAAGGAATGGTTTGCAGAACACGGAAGAGGTAACATGAACGCGCAGCGTTATATCCACGAAGTTCTAGAACCCCATCTTTTACCCTATCTTGACACCCTGGCAGATCCAACTTTCCAACAAGATAATGCCCGACCACATGTTGCAAGAGTCACAATAGACTTCTTTCAACATAATGATGTCACATTGTTACCATGGCCACCAAGATCTCCCGACTTATCCCCAATTGAGCACGTGTGGGATATGATGGGTAGGAGATTGCTCAATTTGCAACGTCCTCCTCAGACTCTAGAAGCACTTCGAGAGGAGTTGGTGGTTGCCTGGAATGAGATACCACAGGAGGACATTGACCACCTGATCAGAAGCATGCCCAGGCGCGTTGGAGAATGCGCAGCACATCAGGCTGCATCCACACATTATTAAAGGTCAAAGGGCTTTAAAGCAGTGCAATCATTTAGACATTTTTATCATTTACTTATTATGCTTCATTAAGTACTTATACCAAATTTTATTAAAATAAAACCATTTTAAAAAAATGCCTTCTATAATTCTGATAAAATTCAAGACAGATTTAATATCGTTCCTACTAATATTATAATCCCTATTTACCTACTATGAATAATTTATATTATAACATAATATATAGGGTGTCCGCAGCACAACCTAACTCTCAACTCTAAGAAGACAAAAGTAATCCTTTTTGGCAATAAAAATAGTATAAATATTTTAAAGGAAACTCCTTCGTTGAAAATTACGAACGAAGTGCTTAGTTTCTGTGATTTTTCTATAAATCATATTTCATATGACGATAGGCCTGAAAATGAATTTAAGATTATCTAATCATGTGCTTTATTTGTGGACCTATCAAAAACATTTGATTGCATTGATCACAAAAGATTGCTAAACAAATTATATAAATATGGTATACGCGGGAATGCGTACTACTGGTTTATATCTTATCTCTGTAATAGAAGACAGAAAGTAATTTTGTACCAAACTGGGAAACGAATAACATCTAGTCCTCGGACATATAGTACTGGTGTTCCTCTAGGCAGTACACTGGGCCCAACATTGCTTATTATTTATATAAATGATATATCCACCACCACCAAAAACACACAAAATCTAAGTTTCATCTATGCAGATGATATAACTATTCTGATACCATATAAAGGAACGTCTGATATCCGAATCTTGATAGAGACCCAAATAAACTATATTCAAAACTGGCTGCAGATGAATAGGTTAGCATTCAACATACAAGAAACGTGGTGTGTCTTATTTCAGTTAAGCCATGCCTCCAAAGAACTGCCCTTAATTAATGAACCTCTATGTATCAAAAGCGATACAAACATCCTGAGTCTCACATACGATAGCTGTCTTAAGTTTGATGAGCAGATTGAGAGTATAGCTTCAAAACTCAATCTAGCATGCTATGCACTACAAGTACTCACTTGTCACCTGCCCTTGCAAGCTGTGCAGGCTGCCTACTATGGGCTTGCGTATTCTATTATGTCTTATAAAATAACAATTTGGGGTAATAGTCCCGCAGCCAATAGAATGCTTATCATACAAAAGAGGATAATAAGGATAATGTTCAAAATGAAACCTAGAGAGTCATGTAGAAGTATATTTAAAGTCAACCGCTTATTAACTTTACCGGGAATTCATATCTATAACACTCTACTCTTTATCTTTAGCTATAAAGACAAGTTTGAAAAAAACGTCTTCAACCACAGTTACAATACTCGCACAAGTCAGAAATAGTTCTACCCATCACATAAGCTAAATTCTAGCGAAAAATGTCCACATTACTCTGCACTGAAACTTTACAATGCCTCAACATCTTCAATCCATTTCAGCAGTCACTATATTCACAAAAAGCATTCATAAATATATACGAGTATGCAATATGGAACCATATAGTGCCCAAAAAAATTGGGTGTTATTTACACTGTGTCACAACGACGTGTTACCTCTGTTATAAATTTCTTTGTTTTTTGCTTATAATTGAGAAACCAGTAAATTTCTAAATTTCAAAAATTTCTTATCGGTAAGAAAGTTGTGTTGAGAATACAAGTCGACCTACTTGACTTCTAGCACAGTTAGCGTGGCTGGAGCAGGCAGAATACTCATTATACGTTTTAATATTTCTGTTTGCTTCAAAGCAGATCATCATATTCTTTTCCGTAATACTTCGGGATTACAGCTAAATGTCTTATTAAGTTGCTTGTAGTGTTAAGTATTAATTCAAATGTAACGTTCCAAACATCATCCGTTTTTTTTGCATATACCTTCGCCAGATTCATCATAATATCTCCAATCACCATCAGTGATAATCGTGAGCAGCAATTAATGCTGCCCGCTTTTTGTACCTGTCTGTCTATCTGACCGTTTGCCTGACTCTGGCTGGCCGACACGGTCAATTGATTTTTGCAATCGTCATTCCGGTAATGGACTCAAACAGATTTTCTGCAGTGACGTATTGGATCAAGTTTGTTCTATTCACGGACAGGCAAACAATTCTGAAAAAAAGAGGATGTGACCTACGAGGTAGTGCCACATGGGGTACATCAGGTATCAGATCAAAGCGCTACCAACCGAAATGAAATGCCTAAAGACCTACTGTGGCAGGATTCATAAAGGATTCGACAGAAGGTATTTGACTGACGAGCATTCAGATGGAATGCACAGCGAAATCAATCGTTCAAACTTACTTACAAACAGCACTATAAACCCGAGTATTGTTCGGCTAACTAGATAGTTTGCCTTCATATGATGCGATCTCCTACCGTAGTTGTGCCCAAATTTAAAATCATTTTCCTAGAGATGTCTTGATGTTATTCCTCCAACTGATATGGTGACGACCTGGAGCCTTTTACCAGTTGCTTCTCCGAGATCAACTTTACTAACCGATCATTGATGAATCTTTTATAGTTATGAAATAAATCTGCCAAACAGACGATTTGGTATAAACTTATACCGAGTGACAAAAAAAGTTTATCCAATTTTAATAATTTTTGGCATACAGGGTGTTTCAGTTTATTGTTGCATAACTTCAAGATTTGATAGAACTTATAAAATTAATGCATAAAGTCTATGTAAAAATGGGTCGAAAAATGCGTGGCTTCCGAAATACAGGGTATACGCACCATGGGCATAGTTTTACTGTAGCCGCTAGAGGGCGCTCTCTACTGTACCTGTAGTGTATTAAAACGACCGAAAATTTTTTCTCATTGCAATTTTTTGTTTTTTGAATAAAAAAACTGATCCTTCGCACTTTTCTGCATAAAAAAGCTCTCCTGTGAGTTTTCGTTATAGTTAGCCGTTTTTGAGACATTTCGATTTTTAAGGTTCGATGCATTTTTAATTATTTATGGGAAAATAATATTTTTTTACATTTTCGATTTAGGCATTACGAGTAATTAAGACGATCGTTTAGATTGTGTTTTTAAACACAGCAATAATTCCTAACTCCAAATAAACACAAAAAAACAGAATATTAATTTGTTTAGTTTTCCAATATTATTTTTAACAAATTAAATTAATTATTTACCACTAAAATGCTATTGGATAGTTAAGATACAAAATCTAAAGTAGTTGCTCGAAATGTAAACCCAATTGCTCAATACACAATTCACATCTACGAATGATCGAACGTGGTATAGCATTATTCAAATAAGGCTTTATTTCATCACATGCATTCCTGATTCTGTCTATTAGCATATCTCTTATGGTTACGGGAGTCTACAGTACAGAGTACACTTTTTCTTTTAGAAATCCCCACACAAAGAAATCTAATAGATTTAGGTCAGGGGATCGTGGAGGCCAGGCGACTGGTCCTCCACGGCCGATCCATCTTTCTGGATAAGTTTCGTCCAGCCAGTTTCTAACTATTCTCGAATAATGAGCTGGACAACCATCAAGCTGGAACCAGGCCAATCTTCTTAAATCTAACATAACATCATCCCACATATTTGCATGTTCAGCCTTTAAAAATTCCAAGAAGGTCGCAGCATTTAACCTTGCAGGCAAAAGGTAGGGTCCAAATAGTCGATTACGGTAGATACCAATCCACACGTTTTCACTAAATTCATGCTGAAAATTTCTTTCCCGAACTGCATGCGGGTTTTCATGACACCAAATATGTAGATTATGAAAATTTACCACTCCACGTCTAGTGAAGCATGACTCATCGGTCCATAAAACGTTACTTAAAAACTCTCTATTATTATCAGTTCTATCGAGAATCCACTGATAAAATGTGATTCTTCGTTCTCCGTCCTCTGGCTGTAGTCCTTGCACAGATTGCAAACGGTAAGGACGTCTATGGTCATTTCTAAGAACACGGTGAACATGGCTTGCTAAAATTCCCAAGGCACCAGAAACTCTCCTAAAACTTGTGGTCGGATCTCTATAAAACTCACGCAAAATCATACGGGTAAATCTGCGCTGA